ATACATATTTAATAAATATTATAAATGAGGATAATTTTTTTTGTGTAATTTGTATTTTTTATATTTCGAGTTTTTACTATTTAATTAATTTGATGATTTTAACTTGAGATGTAACTTATTATTATTAATAGATATATTTTATTAAATTTTGAATTTAAATATTATATTTAGTTTAAACTTTTATGTATATATTGAATGTTAACGTCCTAAAATAATTTAATTTTAGTTTTTATTATTATAATTATTATATTATTTATACTAATTTAATTATAATTAAATTATTAAATCTTGAACTAATACATATATAGATCGGTATGGTCTGATTTTACAAACATCGATAAAAAGATAACGATAACTAATATTTGTGAACAAATATTTCTAAACTAGAAAAATGAAGTACTTTTTGCAACAACAACAATAATAAATAGTTTGATCTTTCATTAATTTTTCGTATATATGATGATATGAGTAGTTATATTACTCAACATTTTTTATTTATTTAAAGAAACTATGACAATTGAGTTCGGAATTAAATTTTGTATATAATACTTGAATCTTTATTACTAAATTAATCTTAATGGTTCTGATCATCATTTTTCTACTTACTGTTGATTAAGTTTAGAGTTGTCTTAAAGAAGATATGCCATTGTTAAAGTCACGTATTTAATGCAAAAGAACATTGTTTTGATTTTTTGGCAAAACAACTATTTTTAAAGTGAGTTGATAACTATATTTTTCTATTTTATAGCCTTTATAAAGTGAACTTTCCAGTCTCAGCTTGACATACTTTAACAAGAAGTTATTTTGTTATCTCTCCAATTTTAGACAAATGACACATTTTTCAAGACTTATCTTTCCTAGTTTGTTGATTAATCTTTAAGTAGCTTATCTATTTTATCTTTTGATATGTGGAAGAAACTTTGTTGTTCAGAAGAATTCAGACACATGAATCAGAAAACAGTTGGTTTCAACTTCAAAGCTTTTTTAAACGCTTCTTAAGTTCTTATCAATCACCCAATTTGGTAAGATCAAAAACAGAATATTACGCATTTAAATTAGTTTTCACAAGAAAAAAAATCATCTAAATTTCTAGTATTTTATTATACATAAAAAAATTATAATAACCTTATAAAAATAAATAACGTTATACATAAAAAAAATTATAGATATACTCTAACAAGTTTATTCATTATTTTTCAACACATGACAATATGACAAGTTTACATATTTAAGTCCAATATGCTTGAGTGCAAAGACCATTCTTAAACGGTCGAGTCATATTATTCTTGACAGAAGTCGTATTATTTTTATAATAAGTTTTACGATCTATTTTTCTTTTTATAATATATCACTTATTTTCTAATTTAAAAAACTAAAAAAAAAATATTAGAGAAAGTTTCTCAACGGTAAAACCTGAACTTAGTACTTATGATGCGATGGTGGCATGTCCTACATTTCCATGATGTGTTGCAACACCATTATATCTGCAAGGTTCGTTGTCGTAACATAATTCAACTGCTTCTGCGATATGATATCGTTACCCATCCATGGCACATTGACACAACACAACACAAGCTCCTGAAGTTGAAACCATTCCATTTTTATCACCATTTGTTCTTAGTCATGTGGTCCTCAATATGTGCTATATTTTTACTATAATTATTTTGTATTTGAGATCAACAATGTTACAAACACACAAGCAATTTTAGTTTCAAATTCACTGATATATTAATATTATTTTTTGTGACAAATTATTTTAATCACATTCGCTTCAAATATGTATTAGTAAATAATTTGTCATTAGTTATAGAAAGTAAATAATTATTTTGTAATTGTTACTAATATTATAAATTATATTTCGTCACCAATATATTAATAAAATATCTGTGATGAATTGTTATAAACTAAGATACTTCAAATTCTAAGTGACAGAGAATATGTTATTTGTAATAGAAAATAAACGAATATTTAGGTATTTATCACTTATGGTGTAATAATTATGACAACGCGTCATTTGAATTAACTTTCTAACAAATGCTTATACGAGAGAGTAAAAAAAAGTCAATATTTTACATTAATTAAAATCAAGTTTCTATCTCATTCACTATATATATATATATAAAGTTTCTTAATTGCAAAAGCACATGTAAACTTAATAGAGTTTAGTATTAGCGTAAATTATTTAGATATATCACAATTAATAAGAGTTTGACTTGCATTAGATTTTAAGTTTAAATTTTATTATTATAATTATTGGTGTAAAAAACGTATTTTGTGTCTCTATATTTTAAAATAATAATAATAATAATAATAATATAGTTATTTAAGAAATAAGAATGATGTGGAAATGAAATATAAATGAGTGAAGTAGAGATGATAATAATTTATAAAGATAAACTAGTCCAACAATTATGTACACATGTGAAATCACTTTTTTTATATATAGATATGAATATACAATTTAACTTTTTTGCTATCAAATTTGTTTTTTCTTGTTTAACAAGTTTTTTTATTAGTGATATGTACGATTTTTATTACTAGTATTTTGGTTCGTTGATTTTCCGTCAAATGTTTTGTGATTCCATGGTTGTAAAACTTCACTCGTTTAATGAATCATTTAATGCTACAATAAAAAGGTTGGATCCGACAGAGTGAATCAAACCAACCACTTTAATTTGGTTTGAATTTCGTGAAAGAAGTCACTAAACAAACCGAAACAAATCTTGCCGAGTAATTTTGATCAGTTTTTTTTTTCTTTCTTTTTCCTTAAAAAAATAATATTAAGCGGACCGTTCTGAGTATGCTCCAGAACTGTGATTAAAAAAAAGAAAAAAGAAAAATATTCAATATTTTGTAGTTAAAAAAGAAATGTTATATTAAAAACACGGTTGTTAAGGCATTTTCACACGGGCCCACAAGTTGGCGGTGGTGCTAGTTGTGTTATGTTGCGTTTCTAATATTTGCATTTTGCAGCGTCAAATTCTTGGGTCTCTGGGAAATTATTGCATGAATCGTGTCGTGGCGTGGGCTTATTGGTTCCATGAAATGGGCCTGGCCCACCTAAGCAAACCAGCTGTACCTGCAACACCAGCTGGCGGTTGGTCCCGCAAAACACCAAATCAGAACCAGCAAAGAAACAGCACTCTACTAACTGCAAAATCATACATAAGTTTAACACATTTAGTAAATAGTTTAAATTTTAGTGTCAAAATTTCAATTAATTTCTGATTATGTGTACGGAATATATTGTTAATAATCTCTAAATCGGTAAAGAAAATTATTTGCGATTATAAATTAGGTTATCCTTATTAAAAAAATTATATTTGCAAAAGCAGTAATAAAGCTAGAAACCAATGCACATTAGCTATATTGAATGTTTAGATGTCACATGCGCCTAATGTCCAAATGGTCCCCCTCCAGACTGGATCATGCGCAATGCCACTGTGCTTTGTTTTTTCTTTTTTGTTTTCATTTCAATAAAAAGAAAGTTTAAAGACTTAATAATTAAAAAGGACGGAGGATCGAAAGAAAATATAACACAATCCAATGTATTGAGTAGTTAAGTGGTACATAGAATAAACATAAAATAATTTACTAATTATTAATATTTGTTGAAAAAAAATCAATATAACTAAATTGAACTATCTTGTTTTATTATATATATATATATAAATAAATCAGAAGGAATTCACTTACTATTCTACTTAATAATTCATGTTTTACATTAACTTTTAATTATTTGATATTAAATTAAATGTTCTTAAAGTATAAATTAAATTTATAAATTTTTTTTAAAATTTTAAAAATCATATAGTTATCAAATTTTTTAAATTTGATAAAGATTTCTCTTTTGATAAGGATCAATAGTGACTAGTGTGTTATTTTCAAATTAGGGAATGAAAATATTTTTTAAATTTGAGACAAAAAAATAAACATGATTCAAATTTGAGAAAAAATATTTAACCCATTTAAAATCTATTTGACTTAGTCTATTTAATAAAAAATTAAGTCTAAACTTTTTGATAATTTTTTTAGAATAGTAGATTAAGTCGTAGGATTTTAGAAAAGCCATATGACTTATGAGTTTGACGAATCGGTCTGTTTATAAGCCTTGCATTAGTTTGAATATATACATTAAAATGGTTTGACCTTTTTGAGGAATGTAATCCGCAGAAAATAAAATTTAATATTAATTATTAATTAAAATTGATATTGAGATAGTCATAATCTCTAGAATTTATTATATATATTTAATATTTAATTTCATCACAATTTTTAATCATTAATATTATATTACTCTCAAAAAAACATAAATAATTTTATATAATTAATTATTGTAAGATCGTATTATTTCACAACCGCACTTCTCAATTTAAAGAAACAAATCTCTATAAATGTAATTTTCTTTCATGATTTTAACCATTTTTAATATGACAAGTTCATTCTATGAAAACATATTTCGTAAGCAGATTAATAGGTGAAATTATATTTATAATAAATAGTAAATTAACATGTCAAATTTTGCACTGAAAGATAAAAAAAAAGAGAGAGAGAGAGAGAACATGTTCAAGTAAGGTATAACTTGCGTTTTTATTTTTTTTTGGTAAAGAGGTATAACTTGATTTGATCGATTTTCACTCCATCATGTATTTCTTTGTAAGCTTTAAAATTTGTCAATTTTTATTATTTGATTTGAAGTAATTAAGGCAATGGCAATACTTAAAAAAAAAAAAAGTCATTCTTAATTAAAAATATTTATGTTAATCGACCGTTTTAGATTTTTTTATGAGGGAAAGAATTAGAAAAATGATAAGAAGATAGAGTGAGAGAAAAGATTTGAAACGCGGTGTAGTCCCACATGGAGACACGTTGATCCAACGGCTAATGGTGGTCCCTGATGAGAAAAACCAGCGGTGACGATGAACGCGCACGTATCTGTTCTAAGGCATCATGAACGACACAGAAGGAAAAGTAGTTAGGTCCTATATAAACCCTTCGCCACATCTCTCATACCATACTCTCTCTCTTTCTCTTATTCACTCATTCACACTCTCCACACTGCGATTCACAGATGGATCGCAACGGTGTCCTCGCTCTCGCATTCCTCTGCATTGTAGTCGCCGGCGTCGGGGGCCAGTCTCCGGCATCAGCGCCCTCCAAGACTCCCGCCCAACCGCCTTCCACGCCCAAATCACCCGCTCCCGCCGCCGCCCCCAAGTCCTCTCCTCCAGCTTCGTCTCCCAAGGCCGCCGCCACCCCCGCCTCCACCCCCGCGGCACCTGCGCCCACCACCAAGCCTCCGGCTGCCTCCCCTCCGGCGGCGACTCCTCCAGCTAAGGCTCCGGCTAGCTCCCCGCCGACGCCTGTTCCGGTGAGCTCTCCCCCTGCTCCTGTTCCGGTGAGCTCTCCCCCTGCGGCTGCTCCCGTGGCGGCGCCGACCACCCCTGTTGCTCCTGCTCCGGCTCCGAGCAAGCACAAGAAGGGTAAGAAGCACAGTGCTCCGGCGCCGTCACCGGCGTTGCTTGGTCCTCCTGCGCCACCGACAGGGGCTCCTGGACCCAGTGAAGATGCTTCTTCCCCTGGACCTGCGTCTTCTGCTAACGATGAGGTATGTTTTGTCTCTTTTTTCTTTTTTCTTTTTTCTACGCTTTTTTTCTACAATGTGCTTCAGATCTACGATTTCTTGTGACAACTCAACTCACTTTAGGGTTTTACTGCAAGTTAACTCAGATGTAACGTTACTGTTGGGCCACGCGCCACCTTTGACGCGTGGATTTGGTTGGGACAACCTTTTACTTTTTAACCCTGGAGGTTTTACTTTGGTTTTGAGTGTGTTCAATTTGGATCTGACATATTTGGTTTGTGTTTTCAGAGTGGGGCAGAGACTATGATGTGCTTGAAGAAGGTTCTAGGAGGCTTAGCTTTGGGTTGGGCTACCCTTGTTTTGGTCTTCTAGACAGACCTTTGCCTTTGCTCTTGTATTGTATCATTTATTTCCTTTTTTTCTTTTTCTTTTTTCGACCCTGTTTTGGGTATACATTACATTTATTTACATTGTTACCTTCGGACCTTATTATTCCATTCATGTCCTAGTTATTACTGCTGTTTCGCCTTTTTTTTACAATGTTTTGGATTTAGATCGTTATTGCTCGTTACAACTGCTTGAGGGGATGCTATTGCTGATGGATTTTCTGTTCGTCGTCGATTACTGCAACTAATTACACCTGCCATTCTTAAAATATGGATTATGAACTTTTTTTAACTCTATAAAATCGATAATGTATACACTTTTTAATTATCTCATTTTTAGGTGACGTGGGATTAAGTTCTTTTATTTCAGTTCATCTCACATCTGCCAGCGATTGAGATTTGGAATTTAAATTATACCCTCAAAATTTAATTATGTTTGGATTTTCTATTAAAATGGATACTGCAAATCTTAATGTGATTTATATATTAATGATGTAATTAAAGTTAGGGATTCTTAATTTCCGATTCATACCGACAACAATAAACATACATGTTTCCTTTTACGATTCACTTGCATTTATTTTTTTTCTTGTCTATATTTATCTTCGAATTATATTTAGAGGAGTGCTACCGACATAAGAAATTATTAGGTGCTTCATTACTATGTATTTATTTCTTGTCTAGTTTCAATAGTCTTGATTAATAATCACGAGATATATTTAAGTGTTTTAATTTATTAAAAAAGTAAAGTTATTTGATTACATGTTATAAAAAAATTAGAAGAAATTATACGTAGTTTAGAATCACTTAATATTTTCCCCTCAAGAAAAAAAATCACTTAATATTTATTTTAGCAACACATTTTCTTAAATGTATTTATTTCCATCGATTAAATTATAAAATTAGAAAAAGTTATTAAACAGTGTATGAAATTTATTAAATTCTGTTTTAATTTTAACAAATTAAAGAGTATATTTAAAAGAATAGGTTAGAAAATTTCTTTTACTTATCACTTTTATATTTTATCTCTTTGAATCCATTCTTGGTCACACCTTTATGCGGTGGAAATTGATTCTTGGACACATTTTGGATGTCCACGCCATGAAAAAGATTGAAGATTTACCTTCATGCGGTGGAAAATGATGCCTGGACACATCTCGGATATCCATGCCTTGAAAAATAGAAAAAGAAATAAAAAAAAATTAATGAGAAGCGATGATGAAATATTAATTTTTTTCCTTAAATACATTTTTTAATAATTAAATTTTTTAAAAAATTATAAAATTTGGTGAGTGAGATCTTACGTCCACTATAAAATTTTATAATTTATTAAAAATTATAAAATTTAGAGATACAATAAGTGGGAATTTTTTTCTTTTTAAATCAATTTTGTATTAAATTTATACCTATTTTGTTAAGATGTTATCAAAATATATATTAGTAATAATTGTTTAGATTATCGAGTTATTTTGCTATCAGACATTTATTATATTATATAGATGTTCAGTTTCGTAAATCTCATGTTCTAGATATTTTTGATATTAAAATATAAATTTTATCTAATATAATTTTACAAAATTAATTTGTAAGTTGAGTTTTACAATTTATTTAATAAACTTTTTATTATAGTTAATAGTTTTTAATTTATTTTAATTAATAAAAATATATATTAAAAATAAATTACAGTTTTGATTTCTTTATTTTTATTAATTTATAATTTTGATATTTTTATTTTAAAATAAAGATATTTAGTCTTTTATTTAATAAAATATGATATTTTAATCTTTTTATCAATTTGATAATTATTAATCATTAAATTTTGATGTTATTTAATGATTTGTAACTATTAAATAATATAATATTTAATGACATGACATACATGAATAAAAAATAAAAAATAGTATACAAAAAATCTTTGTTTATATTTATTTTTTATGAATGATTAATATTTATTTTATTAATAAATAGTATATATATATATATTATTTTTAAATATCATATTATTAATATTACTTAAATATGAATAAATATTAAAATTTAGCAGATTAGTAAATGTTAATATGATGAAAGAACTAAAATTTCATATTTTAAGATTAGAAAAATTAAATATTTTTATTTTAAAATAAAAGATTAAAATTATAAATTGATAAAAATAGAAGGTGAAAGTATAATTTTATATATATATATATAAAAAGTACTAGAGTGTCTACTCCTGCAAAGATTGTTTATTTTGTCATTGAGTGATTAACCATCGCGTTAATGCCATCTGCACCACTCCTGCAACTGTTTGTATCTATTGCAACTGTCTCCTTCTAATTACCATCATTATAACACCAAACCACCAACCTCTCATTACTATGATTCTTTGGAAACTTAAAATAAATAATAATAATAATAATAATATATCATACGGCGTATATGTTTTTAATTAAGTTAAATTGACGCACCTGGACACATCTCGGATATCCATGCCTTGAAAAATAGAAAAAGAAATAAAAAAAAATTAATGAGAAGCGATGATGAAATATTAATTTTTTTCCTTAAATACATTTTTTAATAATTAAATTTTTTAAAAAATTATAAAATTTGGTGAGTGAGATCTTACGTCCACTATAAAATTTTATAATTTATTAAAAATTATAAAATTTAGAGATACAATAAGTGGGAATTTTTTTCTTTTTAAATCAATTTTGTATTAAATTTATACCTATTTTGTTAAGATGTTATCAAAATATATATTAGTAATAATTGTTTAGATTATCGAGTTATTTTGCTATCAGACATTTATTATATTATATAGATGTTCAGTTTCGTAAATCTCATGTTCTAGATATTTTTGATATTAAAATATAAATTTTATCTAATATAATTTTACAAAATTAATTTGTAAGTTGAGTTTTACAATTTATTTAATAAACTTTTTATTATAGTTAATAGTTTTTAATTTATTTTAATTAATAAAAATATATATTAAAAATAAATTACAGTTTTGATTTCTTTATTTTTATTAATTTATAATTTTGATATTTTTATTTTAAAATAAAGATATTTAGTCTTTTATTTAATAAAATATGATATTTTAATCTTTTTATCAATTTGATAATTATTAATCATTAAATTTTGATGTTATTTAATGATTTGTAACTATTAAATAATATAATATTTAATGACATGACATACATGAATAAAAAATAAAAAATAGTATACAAAAAATCTTTGTTTATATTTATTTTTTATGAATGATTAATATTTATTTTATTAATAAATAGTATATATATATATATTATTTTTAAATATCATATTATTAATATTACTTAAATATGAATAAATATTAAAATTTAGCAGATTAGTAAATGTTAATATGATGAAAGAACTAAAATTTCATATTTTAAGATTAGAAAAATTAAATATTTTTATTTTAAAATAAAAGATTAAAATTATAAATTGATAAAAATAGAAGGTGAAAGTATAATTTTATATATATATATATAAAAAGTACTAGAGTGTCTACTCCTGCAAAGATTGTTTATTTTGTCATTGAGTGATTAACCATCGCGTTAATGCCATCTGCACCACTCCTGCAACTGTTTGTATCTATTGCAACTGTCTCCTTCTAATTACCATCATTATAACACCAAACCACCAACCTCTCATTACTATGATTCTTTGGAAACTTAAAATAAATAATAATAATAATAATAATATATCATACGGCGTATATGTTTTTAATTAAGTTAAATTGACGCATGTTCTATCACTAATTAAGAGACGTAACATTATATTTATAAATAAAATATTAAACTTTATAATGAAAGCATTTTAAAGAGCTTCTTTTCGATGAGAGTTTTTATAAATTTATTTAACTATAATTTAGTTTTTATCTATCATATTTATTTATAAATTAAATTTTAATTAAACAAATTTTTAATATTAAAAGTAATTTTATATCATAATATAAATTATTTATTATAATTTAAAATATAATTATATATTAAAAAATATCTATTTATATAATTTTAAATATATTTTATAAATTTAAATATAATATTTATTTTTATTTAAATATAGTATTCATTTATACAAATTTTATTTATACTTAAGAAAATTTGGAACTCCCATGTTAACTGTTAAGGCATGCAAATGAGATACGATTGGTAAGAAAAACGATGTGATTCTTGACTTGGGTGATGGTTGTGGCGACACCGCGTAGTGGCAATCAAAGGTGGTGGGTGTGGGAGGAGAATGAACTCTTGTACAGTGTTTGAGAATTAAAAGCTTTTGGTTTGGTTGCTATGACAATAAAGAATCATGAGTTCTTGAATATAGATAGATAACAAATTAAGTACCAAGGAGGAAAAAAATTTGAATGGGTTGGAATTTTGGTAACTCTTCAGAAAGTGAGATATGTTAGACCTAGTATGTAAAATACTAACTTATGATGAGTTAATATATTTAGTCACATTCACTCACTTTGACATCTATATTATTGTTTTTTTTTCTTTATCTATACACATACTAATATTTTAGTATGTACAATACATAAATTTAATGATCGTATATAACTAAAATTTGTTATTAATTGTTTGATTTTAAAAAAAATAAGAGAAAAAATATAAATAAAAAAAATTAATGTTATAACTAACTAATATTTTATGATAAATAATTTATATTATGATATAATATTATTTTTATTTTTTAATAATTTATTTTAAAATATTAAAATTTAATTAATAAATAACTATGATAAATAAAACATGAATTAAATATAAAGTTAAAAAAATCTTAAAAATGAAAAATTTCTAAAAACATTCTCATATTGTATTTTATATAGTGTTTATTTAAAATAAATAATATATATAAAAACAAAATATAAATTATTTTTAAATTTATGATAAAATAATTTATATTATAACAATTTTTTTTTATAATCTATTTAATATATTAAAATTTAATTCATAAATAATCGTAAAAAAATAAAGTCAAATTAGATATAAAATTCTAAAAATTCTCTAAAAATATTATTACACATAATAATCATTTATATTTTATATATAAAAGTTGATTAAATTGAAATTAAAATTTTATTTCATAAATTAGATTGAGTGGGACTTTCAACACTAAAAACCAATACACAACCCAAGAAAACATCTTATTTAATTGACTTAAGTTGAATTATGTAGGATAGGGCCGTATCATAGTATGCCGGGACATTTAACAAATGTCAAAGTATAGGTATGAAAATATGTAAATAAAATAGAATTAGGAAATGTTTAAAAATAATTTTCACAAAAAGTGACTATGTATTTGGGAATCACGTACGGTCAGCATATAAAAAGTAACTCAGTCTTAGCCGTTGGATAAAGATCAAACAGTAAGATTTTTATGGACTAGGCCGGGTGTATCAATGTTGAACGCACCGAATCCAAACCCGCGCGAATGGGTTTAAGTGTTTTGGATCACTTTAGGGTTTAATTTTCCCATTTTCCTTCCAGCTGAGGTACTTCCCGCCGGCCACCGCACGCGACGGAATCGAAAGGTTACTATCCACTTAGCGCCGGTAATTCCCTCTTTTGTTGAATTAAACATACATATTTGCAATTGAATCTATGGTTGTAATTTAGATTTCTGGTCGTGTTAGAATGTGAAGCTGAGAAAGCTGAAAATCCATTTAACGCGTGGTTTACAAATCATGATTCTGGAATTGAACTTGTGAATATCATTGAGCAACAAACCCATCCAACTCTCGTATTTTTTTAAACAGTATTTTTCTGTTCTCTATGTATGGTTTCAGAAAGAGGATTTCTTTAGAACCTTGTACTGGACCCGAATCCAAGAGCTTAAGCTTGCATATATTTCAGATTTCCTTGAACTTTGAAATGAAATTTTGGATTTTAAGCTGAAAGTTATAGATTCTGGCATGCACAGGTTTGTTGACTCGTCATGATTATTTTTCAAGAGATTTGGTAGTTTGGTGTATGTACGTGCTCTTGCTGAATTGGAGGAAATGTTCTTTCTTTCTGTTTTTTACCTGCTTCTGTGGATGAAGAAGGCTAAATATTTTTTTTTGGTTGAACATTTTAGTTTTTGATCGGCTAAACCTGCGAGTTTGAAGTTCTTTCCACAATGGCGTTCTAAATTATTGAATATTTACAGTTTTTAACTGCCAATTTGATTTGAAAACTTGCCACGTGATTTCAACTCAAATCATTTGGGATTTAATGCTGGGATCTCATAACTGTACTTGGTTTCCTTCTGAGTTCCATATAATTCTTCCATAAGATTCCAGATTTCAAAGAAATCAACCATATGATTACTACCTACAAGTTTGACTGTGTTAGGATTTTTTACCACATTATTATGGTTTTCTCTTACATTTTGTCACAAACAAACTGAACATTTCTCTTGCAATTTTTTCATGTCAAGATATTCATTTTTTTTTTAATGATAGGACAAGGATAAATTAGTTGGTTCAGTTTCAAGAACTTCGATAAAGTAGTTGAATAAAGTAGCCTTATTTCATAAATGATGCATGTCTTTATTTGACTCTCCTGGTTTAACAGAATTCTCTGTATATACATTATATACGCCTCCCTTATTTCTTGTGTATTGCTTCTGTAATTGTAATTCTATGTTTTAACTCTATGAGACCATGACTAAGTGACTTAGAGTCTTTATTAGTGTTTATTTTTCTTCTTTATTCTTAATTACTAATTTATTTAATGTGATGTTTCAATTATTATCATATTTCTACATGAGAAATGTTATTTTTTTTTAATTTATATTCTTTTATCTTTTTTTTTTCCCTCTCCATTTATTCATTTTAAAATTATTTAGGCAAGTAACCACCAACATTGAAAAAACACAGGGTGGGTTAATATTTACAACCCATTTCCAAAAGTCTCCTTTTTGGCAGGTTGGTGGGTCAAGGTGGGCTAACTTGCCTTGCTAATGTCAATTATAGTTAATTTGCCTTCATTTCCTTGAGACACTCTCACTCACATTTGCAGAAGATTATGATTCCTCCCGAGTTTCATATTGGCAATTTGCAAAATTTAATTCACATCACATTTCTCTGAAGCCTCTTTTCTTTTTCTATTTTTAAAGGATCAGATGGCTTTGCGAGGGGTTTGGCAACTTAACAAGCTGATTGTCAGCTATTGCGACTGGGGTGGAAGTAGCAGAGGTATAAGGTACAAATACAGTCTTACATTCTTACTGTGCCTTCAATTTAATGAAGTTTTTATGCCTATATTCATATTTTTTATTGGGAACAATGAAGTTTTTATTTTTATATTTTAGGTATCTAGTTTTATAGGTTATCTAAATTTCTATAGTGCTCTTTATTTGTTTAAAACATTGCGAATTTGTAATCAATCTCTGAAGGCATATTTGTGAGTTTTGGAAGGATGGAGTGGAGTAGTTCATAAATGTTCTTGCTATTGTGGTGCTTTTGCAAACATCTTAGGTTTATATTTTATTTTTTGGGTGCCTTATTGGCTGTTACTTCATGCCAATCATAATCTTCTATCAATTCAGTTAGAGAAAATTTTAAATCAACTGGACTTCTTGATAACCACATTTCTCCTTTTGATGGCCTTGCATTATACCTACTATTGAAGGCTTGGAACCAGAATGTTTGAGTGGATTCTCACATTAGTTTTAAATATTTGACAGGGCATTTATGGAGTCTCATTTGCCAGCGTTCAAGGAGAAGAATCCTCAATTAGAAGTGGTTACTGAACTCATTCGTGGTCAACATCCACATCTGAAGGGTTTTTACCGTGAGATTCTTGTGCTCTTTTTGTGCTTTTGTTATTAAGTTTTCGTAGTTGTAATTGATGATTCTCCTATGCATAATGTTGCTTGGGACTCAATGCTGGGTCATGAAAAGAAACAAAAAGTTTAGTTCTATATTGTTACAATGGATGAGTTTTTGGACACGCTAGGCAAGATAGGATTAGAAACAAAGGAATGCACAGAGAGAAAATTAGGATAGCATCTATCTTGAAAAAAGATTGTACAATCTCTTAGGGGGTTTGGGTGCGGGTGGCGAAGTTCAATATGGTGACTGACCTTATGGTGTCATTTTCACATTTTGTATTATGTAGCCGATCCCACCTAGTGGTAATCTGTTTTCTTTGTTGTGATTGATGATTCTCCTATGAAATGCAGAAAACAAGAATCAGCGAGTGATATGTGTGAAGAATATGGATCCGGAAGATGTACTTATGCATGCAACCAGGCTAAGGAATGCATTGGGAAGGAAGGTAGTGAAATTGAGGACAAGACACGTAACCAAACACCCTAGTGTGCAAGGTACTTGGACAACTGCAGTGGAGTATTAAGATAGAAAACCAGGTGTATGAGAAAGTTCCTTTTCTTTTGGTGAATTAATCACTTTGTGAACTAGTGGGTATAAGCTCTCATGTATCTGGCACAGTTTCCAGTTTTTCAATAATTTTTTATTTAGGTATGCATTGTTTGCATCCCAATGATGAATTTGATTGTTAAGGCCAAGTAGTCACTGGTTCCACAGGTTAAGGGTATGACTGGCATTTCGCATGGTTGTGAAATCTGATGTTTGACATTTTGGCCATTATTTTTACAAATCATTGTGAAGAATCCATACTACTGACGCTTTTGCACGAGTAACTTGTAGTCGAGGCTAAATTTTTGGTATTTGTCCCACTAAGCATGCCAAAAAATGTGACTAAACCTAACACAACTGTATTCTCCGATCAGTTGATTATGTTGGCCGAGTTAAGCTGACTGCAAAACAATGATTTCCTTGTTGATTAGGCAATTTTTCTAAGGGAAGGAATTTGTTCCACAGTGGTAAAGAAGTTTTTAAGTTATTCCAGAAAACACTTGTAATGAAATTTGACCAAATATGTTGAGAAGATAAACTGAATTATACGTAACCATTGAAATTAAATGAAAGTAATTGGATAATAATAGTAAAGAATCAATAAATAAATATATAAAGTTGTAAGAAGCTTGAAAGTAAGGAATGAAAGAAAATAGGGATTTATTTTTGATTTTTGTGTTAAAGTCCTTTACAATGTGTTGTACATTTTGATATTTATTTGTGTCTTTCTCAACTCGCCTTTACAATAATGTTAGACCATGACTAATAACAGCATTGGAGGTAACTGCCATATCAACAAACTTGGGTACAAAAAATAGTGATCGGCTAATCCACTTAAAATGTCTTAGCTGGACATCTCAAACACATCCTATCTTCTAGGGAGGTGGGTATTTTCATCTTCATTTCATTTCCCTTGGACGAGTGTGACTTTAAATGTGCACCTTCCACCCTTGATTCGCAACAAAATTGCTCGATTTGATCTTGAACCCTTTTCCTAAGAGTTTAATGGATATGTACTTACGGTTTAAATGATCAACTAATTAGATATAAATTTTAATATAACTTTTAGGGTAATTATTAATAAAATTAGTAAATTTACAATATATAGTGATTTGCGTGTAAAAAAAGCTTTACTTTGTTAGTGCATATACTTTTTTTTTTCTCTACCTGGAATATAGAAAGCAATTACATAGCTGCTTTTTATCTGTTTTACTTTGTTAAACTTCGTGTATCCATTATATTCCATTGCAACAATTGAATGTCTTAGGAATACGGTATGCTTCTAGAAGTTTTAGGGACTTTTTCTCATAATCTAGGCCCTTAGAACTATTTTACATAACAAGTAAACCCTTTAATTGATTCTTCAAAATTATACACCGTAACATTTAGCTTTCAAATACTTTTAGTTACAGAAATTAAAATTAATCCATCACGAGCAAATCATAAATGAGAGCATGCTCTCACGAGAGGAATTAACTTTCCTTTCATTTCTAGCATAGGGCACACTTATTAGATATGTCCCTAAATTTGTGGGACAAAAAAATATATTTAAGTCTAACTTCAAATATAATCTTAAAGACACAAATGAAGACACTCACAAACACATATGTACAACATATGTACAAGATTAGAAATGCCATTTATATCGAAATGGCAGATTGTTTTATCTTTTCCAACTATTCATTTTAGGCAGATGAGTAGCAATAAGCCTACTTTGAAACTTGTCAGAAAAATACAAGAATGAAGTGGAATAATTTCTTAGACATTGTCTCCTATTGAGAAGAGTAGAAACAGAAAATAAGAACATAAGTCAGTAAAATAATAACAACTGAAATGAAATGTAAAAAATTACAATTACAATATATGAAATTGTATTTCAACCTTATGCTGCCACCCTCTGATTCATTTGTATATAACAATATTCACAAACAAAATTGTGTTTACAGATGATGACATATCTAGACAAATCTTTATGTACCTCTATCAGGGTTCAATGATAGCCGAATATTGTGACAACCTGATTTCTTTGAAACAAAAAACTTGATCATTTGACTGGCTACGGTTTGCATAAATTGCTCTCTTGATAGCAGTTAAATATGCTACTGACAGAAGCAGTAGCATGAACTTAGCTCATAGTGGCTGAAGTTCTTGCTCGGGAACAGCCCCATCCACCGGCTTGTATGGATGCATGTTCTGCTGTCTTTTTTTCCAGATTAAGAACGTTCCTAACATGGACAATCCTAGAAGCAACGCGACCAGAACAACTAAACTCACGACCAAGAAATATTGCTGCCACCAACTTCTGCATCATTATACACGTGTTAAAATATCTGAAGTGGTTATATAGATAAGGTGAATTCAATAATGAGATAATTTTAGATTGGCACTGGTTACCAAGGGCATTCGGTTCAATATTATAAAACTTCTCTCTTAATGCAAGGTTGCTTGGATCATGTTACAAAATTTAACTTTGAACAATGCCCTTGCACATGCCAATTCTATGGAATGCCTACCTAGGAATTTCTCATTACTCATTATACCCATAAGAATTTCTACTAAAAAAGTATGCATCATACACATCTGTTGTTAAAATGATAGCATGTGGCAAAAAATACAGCAATATATTGCCAAGACCAATAAGCCTACAGCAACGGAGAGAGAGAGAGATAGAAAATTCCTAAAGTTAGCTTTCCAGGGGAAGAGAATATTCTGTTTATAAAGACTACCACAACCACCAAAGCCAGAAGAAAAGACATCATTCTCGAAAAAGTCACAGGACAAAGAAGACCTAATCACCTTTAGCTAAAGCCTAGCCCTAATCATAAATAAATAAAATCTGAAGGACTGAGCAGTAGGTGACTTTAAACAGAATAATGTGTTATCTAATACGAGGACATATGATAGAGATAATCCACTTCACTTATCGTGACAAAAATTTCAAAGCTTATTTATCTCATAAATTTTCCAATAACTAAACTAATAGAGTTATAATGTTATAAACTATCAGATTAAAATTAAAGTTCCAACTAATTACATTTCATTTTATCTCTCAACTATATATAGAAAAAGGCAAACAATAATGTCACAAACACCAGGACAGTAAAACCCAAATAGGGATAAAGCACAGAATAGACAGGTACATAAATTAGTCGAAATCCATATAATATGCACAGGCATATCCAGAAATAGCATGAGAGGTAAGGGTACATCTTTTGCATTTGGTTTACATGTATGGTCAAAATTAATCCTCTTAGGCTCTTACTTGATACGACTTATATTATGTGTGCTTGGGTGGGTAAATTTGAATACATGAATACGATTACATAAATATATACAGGCAAGGAAACACCAACAAACTAATTTACATGAAAAGAAATATACAATTGTCCAGTGTGTTAAATATAAAACATGTACAAAAAAGTCTCTTAATACTTTTATATTTATGAGTACTATTCAGACTGTTTTGATGTGTTTCATAGCTCTCCACCCTTATATCCAATACATATTCTCTAAGCCATATCTCTTTTATCTCACTTTTGTATTCCTTTCACAAAAGTATCTTTCAACTCTTATGCAGGCACATCCTATTTTCTAGTTAGAAGGAAAGACAACATAAAAAAGTAAAAGGACAGTATCTAAAATCCAAACACAAAAATGTTTTCATAGCATCAAATTAAGAGAGTAATTTGTTGTAACAAGCACCCAAACTATGCATTTGCAAAATATTAGACATGCACAACATAAAGCATGAATTATGTTGAATTAATCCATTAAACCAACCACCGCAAATACAATATAACAACAAATACATAAGGTATTGAACATATAACATTCCAAATTTAAGGCCTTTTCTATTTCAAGAAAAAACTTACTTTAATGGGGGCTCAACACTCCAATCAACCAACTTATAATTTCCAAAGGTACCAGGCAGTTGCATGCGATGTTCAGCAAGCCGGGCAATTATACTCTGCATAGAAAGTCACCATCAGATGGGCAGCCTTCATAAAAATGTAGATGCACAAATGTCAACTTACCATTGCAGTAGTGTTAGAAATGTGATGGGCATATGGTTTTGGGGTTATGGCCCATTTACTGAGGGAATCATTTCCATTAGATGTAAGATTCAGTAAGTGAACCTGCAAACATCCATCATAAAGTAACAAAAAACACATTAGCAGTGTAAATTTGTTGAAAATGGATAGTTTGTTTGGATACTTTGGAAAGCTATCACCACAAATTATTAGAGCCTTAAACTTCTGTCCTCAACCAAAATCCCCAACCTATCCTAATTCCTAACCACCCAGGCTAGCCATGTTATACATGTATATTTTTAATCAAACACTTTAACTTCACTAAAATCGTTAATAGAAAGTACACCAAAAAAAATTGTTAATAACTTAAATATAGAATTATGCAACAAATATTCATGAAATATAGTAATCATTGTCTAACCTGGGAAGTATTAACATCTAACCCATGAGCAAAGTGTCCAGCCAATTCTGTAATCCGAGGCTTCAAATCCACGTAACTGATGTTAAATGAAATTACAACCGTTATTTGGGCAATTTTGACTTCACCTGTGTATGAGTTTATTAAAGTATATTAGGCATATATACATAAAAGAGAAATTGTACTAATTACTGAGACATAAAAAGCATGACGAAATATGTTGTGATATATACAACTTTTGATATGATCCATGTTAACACACAAAGTCTCCGTTTATTCTTCTAAACACATTAAGACCAACAGTTCATGATACCTATAGGAGCTTTATGTTGTGACACAGATGGAGCAATTGAAGGCTCTAATGCTTCAGTTGAATTTCCTACTCCTGAATTTGTAGGTGATGGTGATGGGGCAACAGATAACTGTAATCTTTCCCACAATTCTGCACAGTTTGTTTTCCAGAAACCAACTTTTGTCTGTTCACGATCATACATTACAAGAGTGTTTCGGACAATGATACCTGTGCAAACAAATATGACATGGGGATGGTCATTAAAGAATTGCAGAAACCTATAACACAGAAGCTAGCCATGTAATAGAAAATTAGGAGAATAAGACTTCACACCAAGTATAAAGCATGAAATGGATAAAGTTCCCAAAAATTAAATAAGTTACCTCCCAACAGAGTAGTTGGATCCTTTCCATTTTGGAAAACCCCCAAACAATATGCACCTCGTACTTTTGAATGCTTCACATAGAAGGTCCCCATGAAAAGTAGGGATTATTGAATCAGTAACATTTGATAAACAACGGCATCAACATGTAAACAAACCTAAAGATACTAGTGGTCTTATATAACTAACCCGGAACATGTAGTTTTCAGGTGACAGTGAGTACTTTTGACCATTTCCAAATACCATATCAACCACAGGAAAACTTTTAGAGAATTCAGAGACATCACTGAAACACAAGTAAACCCAAGCTGTTAATTAAACTGTAATAAATGAAGGATGTGAACACTCTTAATTAGTGAAGCAGACATACATTCCAGCACCAAAAAAACATATATCATTATAATTTGGATCTGGACCATTGATTTGCTTGAAAGATTGAAGTTCCTTCAAAATCTGCAAGACAAATAAGTACATAATCAGAGCCATCTGGTCTATAAAATGCACTTTTGTTGATAAAACTTTGCGTTGGAAAAACAAGAAATTAAATGCAAGAATATTTATGAAAGAACTTACCGCATCTTTAAATTCAAGAAATGCCACTTCTGGTAAGTAAGCATAAGTTGTACCACTATCCAAGACAGTTCCATGTTTCCCATCAAAAACATCTGAGCGTAGAGGTAGTCGCTTCCCCGCAACATGTATCTCCTTCAAATCAATATTGTAATATGGACTGTCGCCACCCCGAAACTAGAGTAAATGTGTGAGATTAATAAAATGCATTTGTTAAGAAAATGCATTACATCTCATGTCCACAAGATAAGAATTTTGAAATACACACCTACGAACAGGATCTGAATATGCGAAGACCATGTCTGATGGGGGAGATAAGCCACCGAGAACCATTGCACCGCCACCAACATCCATTCCGCCATAGCATAGTGAGAATGAATCACTTATTACATTTTTGTCAACAAGTTGATCCATGATACTAAGATCTCCGCGGCCCAAACCCATGATGCCATCAGCATGTTGACTATAAAGATCACCAGTCTCAACATTTTCACAGCCAAAAACAGCACGCTGTGGAGCAAGCTCACTCTGATTTCCAAAGGATATGACATCCTCACCAAGGACGCCACTGCTTGTACTCATTTCAGCATACTGTCTCTCATACACACACTGCATCCTGTCACCATCACAATTGCAATCAATTGTACATTTGACAGGTTGATAAGTGCTTGAAGATTCTGGCTGAAACTTTGGATCCTGTTAAGATAAAGTGGATAGACTTACACACATAGATACAAGAAGTTTTAAACAAAATTATTCTTTTACATCTCTTTGGGTCATGTTAAAACAAAATTGAAAAAAAATCCAATCCACTTGACATAACTTGGATGGGTAACAACTTAAACATGCAAAGGTACAACAAGTTTTAAACGAAGTCATTCTTTTACATCTCCTTTATATGAGAATGATTGTATTAGAAACTTGACCGAGGCATCTACTGCATTAATAGGGATGGAAATCAAGTTGGTTAGAGCAATGTTTGCAAAGCCTTAGCATGGCCTACTAGATGATGATATAGACATTTTTTTAGGCCTACAACTTCAAGGTCTCAAATGGACATGGACCTCAAATCAATTTTTTTTGTATTGTTTATAAAATCAATAAATACTTCCATCTTAAACTAAATATAAATATAATACACTATCTCTCAGACACAAATGTCCTCGTGCTAACCTAACTAGGTCTTTTCAATGTCATAAATATAACCTTAACCAAGCAAAGCTGAAAGCTAAAATGTGTTGCCACTTGCGAGCTTCTTTCCAACCCCTAACTACTACACTAAGGGTGTGTAGTGTGCTTGCTATTAAACATGGAAAACAGAAGAATGAAACGAAGAAAGTATTCCATTATCAGTATCAAGACTTCATCATATCCAAATATCCTATTAATCTTCACTCCCTAATTGACACCTTTCCATTTTTACTCTCAACAATAACATGTTGGCTTGTAGCGCATCAATACTCACAAAATCCTATACCACAAACCAAACTGTCGAATCCTACGACACCCTAGGCACGCATTTTCACAATCACGAGTCATAAACTCATAATCATATCCACAACATAACAAAAGTTCTTTTCACATAATTTAATTTTGGCTTTCCACTTGCAACAAATAACAAACGAACTTAACTAACGCAAGGATCCATCTAAAAAAAGTAACAAATAATCAACCTAAACACACATCATTCAGATACGTAACATTATTATTACGAACGCAAAAATAGCACAATGAAGCAGTACCTGGTGCCTGCCACATTGTTCGCAACTGGAGCAAGGAACATACGTAACAGTGCTCCCCGTGTCAACAATAAGTGCAAACATTTGAGGAGGAGTACCGATCCAAAGCCGCGTCGTGCAATACCTAAACCATTAAATTCCGCACATAAATCTCGAATTTGATTAAAATGAAAGAAATGAAAAATGAAGTGCGTGAAACGACGACGTAAGGTGTTTACCCGTTGAGCAGGAGATCATCGTGGAGTCTCATGCGCGCGTTAGGGTGGCGTTTAGACTCGGATCCGTGGAGTTGGCGACGTGGATCAAGTGCTGACATGGAAGAATTCGGTGCGGAGAGGTACAACGGAAGGACCATGGCAGGGCGAGAGCCATGGTTGCGGTTACGAAGGAGCTCGGAGTCGCCGGCAACGTCAATGAGGTGGAGGATTAGGGAGAGCGTGGTGCAAATGAGGTAAGTTGGTGCCCGCGCCATGAGTTGCTGACTCGGGCTCGTGCAACGAGTCGGGATCCAAGTTATGGAACGAGAGAGAAACGGAAGGATGGTGGACAGTGTCTCTGTAAAGGAAAGGAAAGGTGATAACATTAATATTAATTGAATTCAGTTATACTTTTAAGTATTTCAAATTTAGCTATTTACTTTTTTTGGTTTTTTTATTTACATATCTTTTTTTATCAGTTAGAAAGAGACGTATATGCATTTTAATGATTATTTGTTTAATTTTTTTATTTTATATTTTTAGTCAAATAATAAGAGTTAGATTTTTATAGAGTGCGTACTACTATAAGGGGAAAAATTAATGCAAAGGACTAGTTCAATTTTTTGGCCATAATAAATAATAATAATAATAAATTATTAAAATAAATTAATTAAAAAATAATTTATCAAAATAAATTGTTTTGACCACGTAGGAGAGAGGGAACAGAAAACGTCATTCCATTTGACACTTTCTGCATGATTGAACAATGAACACAAAACGTTAACATGGTTGACGTTTTATGCACATGCAGCAAGGATGAACAGGGATCATGCAGGGATGAACAGTAAACAACAAAAAAAAATGTCATTATAATTGATGTTTTCAGCACATGAAACTTAAAGTTGCATCACTTCTCTAACTACGCATGAAGGTGAATTCATCATCCTTGACTACCCGTGAAGGTTCTCGGTAGAAGTTTTATTATATATAGATGAAGGAACTCTTCTTTTCATTGTGCATTCCGTAACTCTTCGGTTTACATTTTCATTTCGCAACTCTCTAGTTCATTTTGCATATTTGTATTTCTTGATTCTGCATATTTCTACTTTCATTTTCAAATTGTCTTTCATTTACTTATTAATGGTAGTAGAATTAACAATGACGAAGGTTATATTTTTACGGATGACACGAAAACAATTCGTATAAATCGTGGATTAAATTTTGAATCCTTAAAGAAAAAAATTCATGCTAAGTTGAAATTGCATTATAATCAAATTGTTTCTAACATCACTTATAGGTATTTAAAATCTCCGAATCATATTTTTTATCTAGTTGGAGAAATTGCATACGATGAAGATGTTGTGCGCATGCTTGATAGTTTTGAACAGTAAAGTTAGAAGACTATGGTAGAATTATATATTAATGTTGATATTGTTAGCACATCTTCTTTTTCTTTACAAGATTTAACTACAATAGAAGAAACGCATCAACCTCCAATTTTAACACATTCAAATGTAATGAGTAATCACCGTAACAATTGAAAAAACTCCAGTTTTTAAATTTCAATTTAACAAACAAATTAATTAATTTCAATTAAATTATATTTTATACCACTTAAGAAAGTTAATTCCAAATTAAAATTATAACTAATGATAAAAAAAAAATTCACAAAAATTTCACATCAACAAATTTATATCCTAAAAATATATATGAAACAAATCAAATATTCTTATTATTATTAGAATCAACTTAAAATTAAACATAACAAATTCTAAACCATAAAACAAAATATTCTTATATTATTAAATCATTATTATATAATTATAATCATACAAACAATGATATTAATACTTTATTTTAATTAACAACACATTTATTTTTACATGCATAAAATTATAATCATCACCAAATTTTCCACATACAACAATCCTAAACTTAAAAATATACATCAAATTAACAACATAAACATTATAAATATTATTACTATAAATAAATTAATACTATAATTAAATAAATATCAAATAAAAATTACATAAATTATTAATATACCTTTCCTTTTCTCCTTTTCTTTCTCTTCTCTTCTTTCTCTTTCTTTTTCTTTCTTCTTCTTCCTTCTTCGCTCTTCACTCTTGTCACTCTCCCTCAACAATGCCTCTCCCAGTCACCCTCAATTCCTTTTAAAGTGAAGAAAACCTCTTCCCGAGAGAACCACGTTAAAGTAAAGAATAGCCTCTTCCCGAGAGAACCACGCTGCAAACACAACATGCAGTGAACTCGTCAGCCTGGCTGACATTTTTGGCTTACAAGGAAGACGTCAACTCAGGTGACGCTTCCTTCATTTTTTGAGTCAAACTTCACTGCAACCCCTGCCAACCACTGCCATTCCATGCATGCAACAACTGAACCACTACCACTCTTGCATGCAACAGATGACACAGAAACTATTTTCGTCAAACAACAAAGACTCGTCAGCTAACCCAGCATTTTTTGAATGCACGCATGTCTGCACCACTGGTGACGCCTTTCGAACTCACCACCAATGTTGGCGTCTTTTATACCTTATGTGGCAAAAATTATTTATTTTAGTAATTTATTTTTTATTTAATTTATTTCAGATATTTTAATTTTTTTTTTGTTTATTCTGAATTTTAAGCTAACTAGTTCTCATAACATGATGTTCGATGAACCAAATTTGGATTCCTACTTGAAGAGGTATTTACATTAGTGTTTTTAACAAAATTGTTTAAGAAAAAAGTGCTTGTAAGAAAAATAAAAAATTAACTAACATCCATTAAGTTTTTTTTTTTTTGATGATCAGATCCATTAAGTTTTTAATATAGGTAAAAGGAAAGTTTTGAAATAACTAAGAAAAATATGATCAAATATTTGTTAGTAGGTAATTGCTAATTAACATTTCATATAATTATTAATTAAAATTATTAAGTGTTTGTTTTTAATATATGTAAAAGTTGAATAGAACTTCTTTTGATAAAAATAAGTTAATCTGATTTTGTGGATACATTGCGAGCACTTTGATTTATATGGAAGTAACCATCACCATACGTTAAAAGAGGAAGGTGGAAATCCACTCTTTTTGTTGAGTATGCATGAAGTGAAGAAGTATAAATATTCTGCTAGTGCTAGCTGAATTATCGAACAAACAAGCCAAATTATACTTCAACGCCATTATTTGTTGTGTGTCAAACTGTCAAGGTTCGGGCATTGAATGCGCACCTAGTAAGATGGATAATCCTTAAGTATCAGCAAAGTATTATATTTATTAACTTGCTAATCTTTTTTTTATTATTTACAAAAGATGAATATTTTTAATTGATGGACGAAACTTAATTCTTTTCAATACCTAAAAATCACCAAGTGAAATTTACTTTTTCAACATCTTAGAATAGTGGATTTAAGTCTTACTCAACCATACAAAACCTACTTGTAAGGTGAGGATTACACTCCACTTATATATGCTATTTAGTTGCTTAATCTCAATTCTAATAAACACTTATTTTCAGTGTCTACACTAATGCTCACTCCTGCTTCTGACATGTCAGTAGCATTAGGAATGTGTATCACTAAATCTTCATTAGTCCTAGATGGCCGCCTTTCAGGAGGATGTTGCAAATAAAAAGTTCTTATCAAATCCGTAAATTGCAAGTGCTCAAGGCCAATTTCATCGAAACTCAAGTGGGATCTATTGAAATAGTCAAAATAACGAATCGTAAGCGTTATAAATAAGGGGATGTCATCATTGGATCTGTTCTGGAAGAACTTATCAAAGAGACTTTGAAGAAGAGAAAAAGGAAATTAGTTTTCAAGTAACAACAAATCTATTATTATAGAACCCAGCAATGCCTTTGTCAAAAAATTTCTATTATAATTTATGCAAAAGAGCTCAAACATAAAATTGGAATCCACAAAGATCATCTTTATCAATTCAACTTTGTTGAACTCTTCAAGGGTGTTTGAATAAAAGCGATGAAAATGGGGCTCACCTCTTCTATGTAACGATTCCAGCTACCAGAAGTTGTTTGGGTTCTTCGAAGAAAGGCTTTGCAATAATTGAGTTTGTATCTTTCCATGTCACTGAGATGAGGATGGTTGTGGTGAAAAGGGCCTATAGAAACAACCATTGGAGTGTACGCATCTTCTTTGTGTCTGTGAATACAAAATATTACTTTGTAGATGCAACGCTCCAGTATCGTGTCAATGTCTATCACCTTCATCATTTCAAATGTATCATCATCATCTTCAGAAAGGTGAGAGTTACTTTCCACTTATATACTCTTTAATTGCCTTATCTCTAATTAATGTGGGACTTGAGTTTTTTCCAATACACCCCCTTACGTCCAGCACTATTGGGCTTGGTACGTGGATAAATGGTGGGTGACCTTTTTGAATGATCTAGGATTGGCAAGACATGATTTTTTCTCAATACACCCCCTCAAGTCCATGGTGCATGTATCAATGGTAGGTGGCCCATTTAGAGTGGATCTAGATAGCTCTAATACCATCTTAGAATAGTAGATTTAAGCCTAACTTAATCCTACAAAACTGGCTTGTAAGGTGATGATTACTCTCCACTTATATGCTATTTAGTTGCTTAATCTCTAGTTGATGTGGGACTTGAGTTTTTCTCAATACAACCCCTCACGTCCAGCAGTATTGGGCTTGGTACATAAATAAATGGTAGGTGGCCCTTTTGAATGATCTAGGATTGGCATGACTTTTTTTTCTGCATAAATGTAAAAAAAAATGGTATTACTATTGGAGGTGCCTTCGTACACAAAAACAGTACAACACACCTATCAAGCCAACAACAATACTTACAGTGGGGTCTGTATCCATTTAGAGACATTTAGAGAGAATAAGGAGAAGAAATCCAGCAAAGGATACTATAGTTTGTCAAAGAGTCTGGTAAGCAATTTACCTTAATCTTCGCTCCGATTTCTGCCTAATTAATAGCACTAGATAGATGTGATGTCTTCCCCATGTGTTACTTCTATGAGAGCACAAACTGTTTGGATCACAGCCAAAATTAGAAGAAGAATTCCAGCCGTTGAAACTGCAATTTTCCAAGGAGTATCAAAATATTCACGCTTTAGAGTCGACATCTAACAATTACAACGAATTCCATAAAAATCATTCAACAATTTGAAGATTCGAGTGTACTCACAAATTCTATCTACTACCACAATACCTTTAAAAAGACCAGTAAAAAGGTTAGCCATAGAATCAGTATCCCCTAACCAGTTAATCAATACTTTCTTTTGAATCGGTATATCCACATCTCTGCTCATGTTTATAAGAATGTCCATTACACCAATATAATCCGTAATGTAAGATGCATCAAGATAGTGGCACTGCTCCAATGCCACCAAATTCCTAAACACAATTTCTGTCCTATCTTCCACTACCAATAATGGAATTACGAGATCTCGTCTTGCAAATGTCAAGTCCAATAAGCACTAATTTTCAGTGTCTACCCTAGTGCTCACTCTTGCTTCTGACAAGTCAGTAGTGTTAGGAAGGTGTACCAATAAATCTTCATTAGTCCTGGATGGTTGCCTTTCAGGAGGATGTTGCAAATAAAAAATTCTTATCAAATTCGTAAAGTGCAAGTGTTTTATGCCAATTTCATCAGAACTCAAGTGGGATCTATTGAAATAGTCAAAATAGTGAATCGTAAGTGCTATAAATTAGGGGATGTCATCATTGGATCTTTTGGGGAAGAACTTATCAAAGAGAGTCTGAAGAAGAGAAAAAGGAAATTGGTTCTCAAGTAACAACGAATCTGTTATTACAGAATCCGGCAATGCCTTTGTCGAAAATTTTTTGTTATAACTTCTACAAAAGTTCTCAAATATTAAACTAGAATCCACGAAGATCATTTTTATCAGTTCCTCTTTGCTGAACTCATCAATGGTGTTTGAATAAAAGCGTGGAAAATAGGGCTCCACCTCTTTTATGTAATGATTCCAACTACCAGAAGTTGTTTGGGTTCTTCGAAGAAAGGCTTTGCAATAACTGAGTTTGTATATTTCCATGTCACAAAGGCGAGGATGGTTGGGGTGAAAAGGGCCTATAGAAATAGCCATTGGAGTGTATGCATCTTCTTTGTATCTTTGAATACAAAAGGTTACTTTGTAGATGCAACGCTCCAGTATCGTGTTAATGTCTATCACCTTCATCATTTCAAATGTATCATCGTCATCTTCAAGAAGGTGAGGGTTGCGATCCAATTATATAATCTTTATTTGCCTTATCTCTAGTTGATGTGGGACTTGGATTTTTCTTAATACACCCCCTTACGTCTAGTACTATTGGGCTTGGTACATGGATAAATGGTGGCTGGCCCTTTTGAATGATCTAGGATTGAAGGGACTTGAGTTTTTCTCAATACATCCCCTCGTGCCCATGGTGCATGTATCAATGGTGGGTGGCGGGTGGCCCATTTAGAGTGGATCTAGATAGCTTTAATACCATCTTAGAATAGTGGATTTAATCCTAAATCAACCCTACAAAATCAACTTGTAAGGTGATGATTACTCTCCACTTATATGCTATTTAGTTGCTTAATCTCTAGTAGATGTGGGACTTGGGTTTCTCCTGATATACCCTCTCACGTCCAACACTATTGGGCTTGGTACATGGATAAATGGTAGGTGACCCTTTTGAATGATCTAGGATTGGCGGGACTTTTTTTTTCCTACATCAATGTAAAAAAAACATGGTATTACTCTTGGAGGTGCCTTCGTACACAAAAACAGTATAACACACACCTATCAAGCCAACAACAATACTTACAGTTGGGTCTGTATCCATTTAGAGATATTTAGAGAGAATAAGGAGATGAAATCCAGCAAAGGATACTACAGTTTGTCAAAGAGTCTAGTAAGCACTTTACCTTACTCTTCGCTCCTATAGTCGCTTACTTAATAACACTAGGTAGATATGATGTCTTCCCCATGTGTTACTTTTATGAGAACACAAACTGTTTGGATCACAGCCAAAATTAGAAGAAGAATTACAGCTGTTGAAACCACAATTTTCCAAGGAGTATCAAAATGTTCACGCTTTAGAGTCGACATTCAATTATTACAACGATTTCCATAAAAGTCATTCAAGAATTTGAAGATTCATGTGTACTCACAATTTCTATCTGCTACCACAATACCTTTAAAAAAAACCATTAAAAAGGTTAGCCTCAGAATCAATATCCCCTAACCAGTTAATCAATACTTTTTTTTAAATCAGTATATTCACATCTCTGCTCATGTTTATAAGAATGTCCATTACACCAATATAGTCTGTAATGTAAGATGCATCAGGATAGTGGCACTGCTCCAATGCCACCAAATTCGTAAACACAATTTTTGTCCTATCTTCCACTACTAATTATGGAATTACAAGATCCCGTCTTGCAAATGTCAAGTCTAATAAGCACTTGTTTTTAGTGTCTACCCTAATGCTCACTCTTACTTCTAACAAGTCAGTAGCGCTAGGAAGGTGTACCACTAAATCTTCATTAGTCCTAGATGGTCCCTTTTTAGAAGGATGTTACAAACAAAAAGTTTTTATCAAATTCGTAAAGTGCAAGTGCTTTATGCCAATTTCATCGGAACTCAAGTGAAATCTATTAAAATAGTCAAAATAGCGAATCGAAAGCATTATAAATGAGGGGATGTCATCATTGGATCTGTTGGGGAAGAACTTATCAAAGTGAGTCTGAAGAAGAGAAATAGGAAACTGGTTCTCAAGTAACAACAAATTTGTTATTACATAACCCGGCAATGCCTTTGTCAAAAAAATTCTGCAAAAGAGCTCAAATATAAAACTGGAATCCACGAAGATCATCTTTATCAGTTCCTCCTTGATAAACTCATCAAGGGTGTTTGAATAGAAGCGGCTCCACCTATTTTATGTAACGATTCCAGCTACTAGAAGTTGTTTGGGTTCTTCGAAGAAAGGCTTTGTAATAACAGAGTTGCTTTGTAATAACAAAGTTTGTATCTTTCCATGTCATGGAGGCAAGGATGGTTGCGGTGAAAAGGGCCTATAGAAACAACCATTGGAGTGTACGCATCTTTTTTGTGTCTGTGAATACAAAAGGTTACTTTGTAGATGCAACGCTCCAGTATTGTGTCAATGTCTATCACCTTCATCATTTCAAATGTATCATCATCTTCAAGAAGGTGAGGGTTGCTTTCTACTTATATACTCTTTAATTGTCTTATCTCTAGTCGGTGTGGGGCTTGGGTTTTTCCTAATACACCTCCTTACGTCCAGCACTATTGGGCTTAATACGTGGATAAATGGTGGGTGACCCTTTTGAATGATCTAGGATTGGCGATACTTGAGTTTTTCTCAATATACCCCCTCATGTCCATGGTGCATGTATGGAAGGCTCATTTAGAGTAGATCTAGATAGTTCTGATACCATCTTAGAATAGTGGATTTAAGTCTAACTCAACCCTACAAAATTGGCTTGTAATGTGAGGATTACTCTTCACTTATATGTTATTTAGTTGCTTAATCTCTAGTCGATGTGGGACTTGAATTTTTTCCAATACAACAAAATCTTCTATATACAATTGGTCATAAAATCACTTTTTTTTTCTTTTTGACCAAAGGTAAGGAAATCACTTAAGAAATCTAACTATTTAATAATTATGTAGGTTAAAATATTATTATTTGAAGAGTAGAAGAATTAATAAGGGAGTTATTAACATAATTTATTTACAAACAAAAAAATGTCTATAATTAGTTACAAAGAATTATATAAGTTAAACTTAATGAGTAATTTTAACCAATCCAAATACATCACCTTGATAGCAATTAAGGTTTTTTATTTCCAAATAATATCAAATGAGATTGAACTAATACCCTGTTGAAGAAAAGTAGTAGGAAAGAGAAAATAACTCCGAAAAAAATAATGTTTTGTATGTCGTTTTTTATAGATAAAAATTAGTGAAGATGTAAAAAAAATCCGCACAAAATCAAAGAGAATTAGGAAGAAGTTGTACATGTATTGTTTACATATATATATATATATATATATATATATATATATATA